ATATATATATATATGAGAGTCAATATAAAGAAAAATATAAGTAAAATTGAAAATTATACTACTAAAAAATTGAAATGAATAGTACCTCTTATTTCAAGTAACATATTAAAGGAAGAGGAATGGAAAGAGTAAAAGAAAAGCAAAAAGGAAAGTAGAAGAAATGAAGATGAAATGGAAAAGGAGAAGGAAGAGGAAATGGAGAAAAGAGGAAAGGGATGATTAAGATGAGAAAGTGAAATATATGAGTGGGGTAAAGGAAGAGAGGAGAAAAAAGAAAGTGAATTCGGATAAAGGATGAGAAAAATGAAAGAGAAGAAAGAAGAAGATGGGAGAAAATGCTAAGGGAAGGTTTATATCAATAAGTATTATTTTCCAGCGCAATGCACTGGAAAATAATGTGGGTGGGATTTTGAAAATTTTACAAGAAAAAAATGGCGCTTGAATGTTGGATTTTAAAATTTAGATAAACTCATTTTCCAGCGCATTACACTGGAAAATAATATGCGCAGAATTTTAAAACTTTTATAAGGAAAAAATGGCGCTTGAACGTTAAACTTTAAATTTCAGATAACTTATTTTCTAGCACATTCCACTGGAAAATAACCTGACCAAATACATAGGCCCATTTTCCAGTGCAATGCACTAGAAAATAATCTGAACTAAATAGGCACTACTATTTTCCAGCGCACTGCGGTGGAAAATAACCTGAACCAATCTAAACCAAATGGATACTACTATTTTCCAACGCACTGCACTAGAAAATAATATGCACCAAATGGACATTGCTATTTTCTAGCGCAGTGCACTAGAAAGCTGAACCAAATACATAGGTGTATTTTCCAGCGCAATGCACTAGAAAATAAACTACACCCATTTCTACCGTTTAACTTTGATGATTCTAAACATTTTCCTGTGCGTTGTGTTGGAAATGCACTAGAAAATATATTTTTTGATTTTTGAAAATTTTTCTTGTCAACAGTAACACTAAAAACATTATTTTCCAGTGTAATGCACTGAAAAATAAAAAGGCACCAAACCAAATTATGGCGCTAAATTATTTTCCAGCGCAGTGCACAGGAAAATGAGTTTCACTTGAAAATTATTTATGGATTTTAGATATTTTATATAGATTTTTAATTTCCAACGCTTGGTGTTGGAAAATAATATACTATTTTCCAGCATAAATTGCGTTGGAAAATAGTTGGTTGAAAAAAGTCAAATTTATAGTAGTGATATTTAATTGGATGGTTGATTAAATAAATGCTAAATTTTATTTTTTTAGTGACAATTAATGTTAAAAATGTGTTCTTAACCTATGCCTTTAGAACCCATTGTTTATTTGCAAGGACTTTTTGTATGTTCTGAATTCTTCATCTTTCACCAAAACTACCTTCCTAGCTAATTCATGTAGATGCAGATATGCGCAAGTGTCACCATGTTCCCCACCACATCTTGTATGTTGAAATCTACAATATTAAAAAAAAAATGCCAGGTGTTTGTGATAGATAACAAAGTATTTAATCCCTTATATTAAAGTTAAGAGTGTAACTCTTCTCCTCTACCCAAAAATATCTCAACCCGAAAAATTTCCCAAAAGACCTACACAAAGACAAATAAGAAAATAAGTATACTAATAAACAAAAATATTCAGCTCCACCTTACATACACAATTTAACAAACACATGGTGGTGGACATGACAAAGTGCACTTAAAGCCTTCCAACCTCTGTTTTATCAACCCCACAAACACTACTAGAAATTGTTGATATTCAGACTAAAATAATTTAGACCAGTTATTCTCAATTTAAAAAAATATTTATTCAAACCACAACCAGTCTAAATATTTATTGATATGGAAGTCATGGTAAGTTTATTATATTCAGATAGTAAGTGGTCTGAAAATTGTTGGTAGGAATATAGTAAAACACACAAAACATTTTCAGACTGACTATGGTCTGAATATTTTCACTCAAAAAAATAAAATTCCAGGCAATTGAAGGTTCTATATTTTTTTTTCATATATCTAGACCGAGAATGGTCTGAAAAATTGCAAAATAATTTGTGAACTTATATATGATATTTAAAATGCATTGTATTTTGGATATATGCAAACCAAAAATGGTCTGGAATATTACAGTAGAAAAATGTAATTTTCTAGACCAAATTCGATTTGAAAAATTGCAAAATAATTTTTGATGTTAATGATATTTAAAATGCAGTTTATTTTCTATATATGCAGACCAAAAGCAGTTTGGAAAATTGCAACAAAAAAATGCTTTTGTCTAGACCAACTTTGGTCTGAAGAAACTTTAATATTTGTAATAATAATAATAATACTAATAACAATAATAATTTGAAAAAATTAAACACCCTTTATACAAGGCCAGAACCACACCCCCCTCTATACTTGTGTTCTTTTTTTTTTTTTTTATGCTGTAGGGGTGAGCAACCTTTGCATTGAATTGGCCAGTGATTTTAGAACCACAGATGGTCTGTATAACTTATTCTGATCACAAGTGGTTTGAATAAAATCGAAAGAATCTAGTCTTACAATTTTTTTTTTTTTTATTTAAGGACAATACCATCATCCGAATCCCTATCACGCCCTAGAAACTAAATCCAGAGTCAAAATAGACATTATACACTTGTGAGAGAATCCCATAAATGTACAAGGCTTGGAACTTGCTAAATTCATTACTAACAATTCACGTAAACTTAGATCAATATTTTAAAATAAAATCTAACTTACAAAGAATAATCTACAACTCAAAATCTATGTCAAAAATACAATGGCTAGCCTTCTAGCTCAGCACTCCCCTTGGTTTCCCACGTTTCGATCACACCACTTGAAATGGTGGACAAGGAAAACTATGTGAGATAACTCAGCAAGTAAAAATATGGATAAACCTTAATTAAAATTTATAACATGCCAACAAATGTAATCAAGCATAAAAAAAAACGGGTATAAGTACGTAAATGAAACAGACATCTCCTCTATAGGTCATGGCCAGCGTTTATAAACCTCCCACTGGCAAGTACAAGATTTACTAGTGTATAATCCCACTAGTAGGATAGCAGGTATAACAAAAATGAACTGGTTCCATAAGTAACATGTCAACATGTGCTAGCATTTATAAACCTCCCATTAGCAAGCACAGTAAAACATGACCATATTGGAGACAAAACCAGGTAGGATTTAATAGGAAAACCATAATTTACAAATAATTTCCAGATCATCAGCGCAGTCAAGTAAACTCCAAGTAGGCATGCTCAACTCAATGAAAATGATAATAATTTTATTTCAAACCAATCATACTCGTGCTTGTGTAAAACGGGTTTAGTCATGCTACCATTTCAAAAACCATCAAAAATATGCTTTCAAAGACCTTTACCCCAAATTCAAAGGCATTACCATACTTTTACTTATCTCGCCTTGTAGGTATACGACAAATAAAGAATTCAATAAGTAAAGGTGCTTGAGGTGATTTAGAACCTAAGCCACATCAAAGAACAAACAAGATTACAGAATACGCCATTTAACTAGATTAATTTCTAATTCCAATATCAAGTTTCTTAACTAAAGAAACAACTTCTCCCTACACATCTCGATCACCTCTACCTTTTAAAATAGCTCCAAAAAGACCCTACATTTGGTGTTTTACAAGGCAGATTTACAAGACAAAACAAAGTGCAAAAATATGAGAAACCAAGCTCAAATCTACCCCAAAACAGCAGCACAAAAGCTGGGCAATAAAGTGGGGATTTTTTTTTTTTTTGCTATTTAGAGCAATCCCAAAATGCTTGGAAAAATCCCTAAACAACAGAAATTTTCTGGGCAAAACAGCAGGGATTTATGGGCAAACAGCAGTAGCAAAATAATGTTGAAACAAGGCAAAACTGGATAGCATTCAAGCAAAAATGTAGTAGCAAAAAGGCAACCAAAACAAAGCAATAAAGCAATAACAGGGGGTTTTAGAGAATGAAAACAACAGCTAAAATCTAGTAAAATCATGATGTAATATGGCAGTAGATAAGGTGGGGATAAAAAAGAAAACAGAGCAATTTCTGTGAAGTTTTGGTCAGATTTCATGCTGAAATTTCCAACAGAATTCCCGCCCACTGATCTGGGTTGAGTGGTCAACAGATAAATTGTAGCCCTGTGTCTTAGGGTTCTATAGCTTCAAGAATTACCTTAATCCAACATGTATAGAGAGACTTATGGCCGAAATACTAACGGAAGGTCTTGGTGTCAGTACAGTCCGCCTGCAAGGTCCGAAATTGCAGCAGAGTTTTTACCTTGAAAACAGCTGAATTGGGTTAAATGTCCAACATAAAAATTGTAGGGTTATCTCTTACCTTTCCATAGAATCAAGAATAAACTCAAAACAATGTCTACATAAAGAGTTATGGGTAAATTACAACAGAAGGGTCATGCAGTTTGAATTTCTGGCAGTAAAGGAAATCAGTTTCTGATGGTATTTATCATGGACAAAATCAAGGGGAAAACTACAGAAAATTTCCAAAATTAAAAGAACCCTAAATGATTAGAGCTAACCCACTTCAAATCAAGGATGAAAAGATGAGCAACAAGGTTGATTTCTCACCAGAAGGTGCTGGAAAATGGTGATCTCTCATTGTGGACAGCAAATCCAACACAGATCAAGAGATTGGGAGGTTGCAGCAGCTAGATCTGAAAATTTTGAGTGTCATTTTGGAACCAAAAACTCATTTATCTTTAACCCTTGCTAAGAGAAGGAAGAAAAACTAAGTTCTTATCTATTATTCCGGCAAGAAGGTGCTTGCGCAAGGCAAGGGCTTGGGGAGGAAAAATTCTAGTGAGGGTTGGGGAAAAACACGCAGAATTGGGTAGGAGAAAAAGAAAACCAGGCTTGTCCCCTTTTAAATCACCAAATTTCTCTTTTAATGCCCCTTAGGTTTGAAATTTTTAAACCATTAGGCCTAGTAATAATAATTCCTCCCATATAAATTCCTAACTTAAATTTAAATTCACTTATACTAATGTAATCATGTATACATATATACGTCTAAAATTTTAAAAATTTTGGGATATTACATCCCCAATTCCATTTCTATCAAAACCATAAACATGTACACGTAATATTGTTCATTTTAGGGTTAGACTCTATGGCATTCAAGCCTCTTCGAGCATGTTGTTTCAATGAGAGTAGAATGAATCAAGCACAGTTTGAGGTGTCAAGGAAAAAGAAGGATTCTGGGCACCCTATTCAGACCATTGATGGTCTAAAAAACTTATTCAAACCAATAGTGGTCTAAATGGGTCACCTAGAATCTAGAAGCTTCTTTTCTCTAACCTTTTCCTTCTTTTTGTTTAAAGACAATCCCACCTAAACGAGCCCTGATTCCATTTCTACTAAAACCAACTGTGTGCACTTCACTATTACAGTCGCCCTAACCCCAACACAATCAGTTAGTTGCCTGAAATTGGTTTACGTTGGCATAAGGCAACATCATCGCAAAACTGTAGATTCATAGTGTTAAGATTATTTACTCTAAGGTTATGCTATATTGTTGCAAAGCCACAAACCTATAGTCTTAATGTATAGTCTTAATGTTACTAGTTTTAAGGTTAGACTATATGGCATTCAAGCCTTTTGCATCCTATGGTTCGAACAAGAGTAGAATGAATCAGGCATGGTTTGAGATGTAAGGCAAAAAAAATAAATAAATAAAAAGAAAGGATTCTGCTCAACATATTCGAACCACTGTTGGTCCCAAAAACTTATTTGGACCAATATTGGTCTTAATAGGGTGCCCAGAATCTAGAAGCTTATCTTCTTAGACTTTTTCATTCTTTTCATTTAAGGACAATACCACTATAAGAGTCCCGATTCCTTTTCTATCAAAGGCAATTGCATGCACTTCACTACTATAGTCACCCCTAACCCCAGTGCCATCAGTTAGTCACCTGAAATTGGTTTACGGTGGCATAAGGCAACATCATTACAAAACCATGGATGTGTAACGTTAAGATTATTAACTTTAATGTAATGCCACATTGTTGCAGAACACAAACCTGTAGTCTTAATATTACTAATTTTAAGATTAGACTCTATGGCATTCAAGCCTTTTAGATCATGTGTTTCAAACAAGGGTAGAACAAGTCGAGCATGGTTTGAGGTGTTTGGCCAAAAAAAGGATTCTGCTCAACATATTCAGACCACTGTTGGTCCTAAAAACTAATTCGGACTAATATTGGTCCAAGTAAGGTGACCAAAATCTAGAAACTTCTCTTTTCAGACTTTTTCATTCTTTTCATTTAAGAACAATAATGCTTTAATGAGCCCCAATTCCTTTTCTACCAAAGCAAACTATGTGCACTTCACTACCATAGTTGCCCCTAATCTCGGTGCCATTAGTTAGTTGCCTGAAATTGGTTTACAGTGGCGTAAGGTAGTATTGTTGTGAAACTACAAATGCGTAGTGTTAAAATATTAACTTTAAAGTTGTGTTACATTGTTGCAAAACCACAAACTCATAGGCTTAATATGACTAGTTTTAAGGTTAGACTCGCTCAACATATTCGGACCATTGTTGGTCCCAAAAACTTATTTAGACCAATATTGGTTTGAATAGGGTGCCCATAATCTGGAAGCTTATCTTCTTAGACATTTTTATTCTTTTCATCTAAGGACAATATTGTTTTAACGAGCTTCAATTCCATTTCTACCAAAACCAGCTGCATGCACTTCACTACTATAATCACTCCTAACCCTGGTGGCATCAGTTAATCACCCTAAATTGGTTCACAATTGTGTAAGGCAACATCATTGCAAAATCACAAATGCATAGAGTTAAGATCATTAACTTTAAGGTATGCTATGTTGTTGCTAAACCACAAACATGTAGGCTTAATATTGTTCAGTTTATGGTTAGACTTTATGGCATTCAAGCCTTTTATACCTCGTTGTTCAAACAAGAGTAAAACGAATCGAGCATCGTTTGAGGTGTTAAGGAAAAAGAAGGATTTTGCTCAATATATTCGGACCACTAATGGTCTAGAAAACTTATTTGGACTAACAATAGTCCAAATATAGCCTCCTTTTTTTTTAATCTTTTTAATTAAATATATTCTCATTCTTTTATGTTTATTTAAGGTTTTATTATTGGACAGGTATACGGACCAACGTTGGTCCAAATATATTTACCACTTTTTTTGCCAAAATTTTTAACGTGAAAATTCAAAATTTTTGGCAGTATCTAGACTAACAACGGTTTGAAATAATAAACTACCAAAAATCTCTGTTATATATCCATGCCTGCTGCCTCTTCCACTAAATTATCTTGTCTACCTTTTCTGCGCTATCCTTCTCCTCCTCCCCATTTGCTCTCTGGTTCCCCTCTCTTCTTTCTTTCACGCTTCTAATTTCTCTTCTTTCCCTCATCTTTGTGCTGCCCCTCTCCTCCTAACCCTTTGTTCCCTTCTTCTTATCATTTTTCTGAACACCTCCTCTTTCTTCTTGTTTTGTTCCATTCTCTTCCCTCTTATTTCTTCCATTTTTCTTTACGCTTCTTGACTATATTTTTTGTATTTATGTTTTTAAATTTATATTTTGTTTTTGTTTTGCTAATTTGGGATATTAGTTGGATTTAATTTTATTTTCTCTTATTTTACTAACATATTTTTTTTTGTAGGTTATTATGCAAAATTTGCTGAATCCTAAACTTTGCTTCTATACATATATATATTTTTTCTTTTAATGCTTTTTCCATTTCATTTATTTTTGTAGGAAATAATTAAATTTACAAGGTATAAAAATAGGTTTGAGTATTATTTTTTATGTGATTTGTAGTATATACTATAGTTTTTTATAAAGTTTTTTGAAATTATATTTAACCATTTAAATATTTTTTTGGTTTTTTTAATTTATAATTTCAATTATTATGGAGGTGTTTTATTTATAACTTTGTATATGTTGTACATTTTATTTTTAATTGAAAAATTAATATACATCTAAATCTTATATAATATGTAATATATTACTTTTAGTTTTTAAAATGTGCAACTATTTGTATGTAGAAAAAATACTTTTTTGGGAATTTTTTAGACATGTAATATATTAAGTGAATAATTTTTTTTTTTTTTATTGTTGGACAGTTATATTTCATATTACAGTTGATCTGAATAACTTTTGAATGGTGAAAATGGTTTTAGCATAGTTACACATAGGGGCCAAACTTTTTATTTTTGTAAATAAGGCCACCAATTTTCAGACCAATAATGGTCTAAAAATAGTTTCAGCATAGTGACACATAGGGACCAATCTTTTTCATTTTTTCTAAACAAGGTTGCAAATTTTTGGACCAACCTTGGTTAGAAAATAGTTTCAGTGTACTGACACATAAGGACCAAACTTTTTCATTTTTCTAAGTAAGGCCAATATTTTTCAGACCATTACCAGTTTGAAATTTACATGTATATTTAGATTGTTGATGGATCGAAAATTGTAATTATTCAAATCGATTTAGGTTTGGCTTAAGCTAGTTCTCAGTTGAAATTTTAGCCTTTATATGGACCAAAGTTGGTTTGAAAATTAACTTTATTCATACTGATTTTTGGTTGGTCTGAAATTAAAATTATTCAGATCAAGTTTTTTCAGGTCGAATATTTAGATCAATAACGATTTGAATAAATATATTCAAACCAATATTCACTATTCTCAGACCGATTTTTCGGTTTGAACAATAATTGTTTCTGATAGTGAAATTTCAAAAAAGCATACATTACCTTTGAAATCTAACTTGAGAAAAGCCTTAAAAATACAATAGATGATGAATCAAAGCATACTACAAGAAAATTGTAATAAGAGGTTTGAAAGAGAGAGGTAAAGAATGTTGACAATTAGGGACAATATATAAATTAAACAAGACTAAATTAGACATTAAGTAATATTCTCTTAACTTTTCTTTGGTACTTTAAGTCTTCTGAGGACTTCTCAGATTTTAAGTAATTGATATTAGGATTTTTAATTTAATATTATATATATTCTCTAACTTAAAGAAGTTTAGACATAATAAAAATGTTAAACTAAAGTAGATATTTTGCATTGGTTACCTTTGGAATATATTTAAAAATTGTAATTATTTGATAACAAAATAATAAATTAAATATACCAAAAAAGAATAAATTGAAATTATGAATATATTTTATAATAAATTTTGTTGAATTTAATTATTTTAATATAAAAAATTGAAATTATATATATTTTTTTAAGTCAAAATAAATTTGAATTCCAAATATTTTTCTACTAGAAAACCCCCACCCATTAGATCATGGTTTACTTGAATTTAATAATTTTGCAATTCATATTATCAAAAACTTCTCACTCCATTTTATTTTATTTGTAAATCTTATTAAATTTAATAACTCAAATATAAAAAATTAATATTATCTTGCTACAATTAAATTAGAGTAATATTTTTTTTTAAAAATATTAATATTTGACATATATTATATCAAATATAAAAAGTAGATGGCGTTACTTCTACTTCAAATATGCACAAATTCCTAACGCAAACCGTCGACACTATCTTTGTAGTGTCAACATCTATCTGGCCCTTTGCAATTTCTTTACCGGTAAACTAGTGAACATGGTCCTCAATCTTTTACTTTATGAATACTTTTATCCAAAAACTTTTAACTTATTCAATTTTGGTTAAATGCTAAATTTG